CCCGTCCGTGCCGCCTTCACCGGCTCCGAACGAGTGCCCGAAGCAGAAGACCTTCTTGGCCGCCGCGTGCGGGAACTCCTTGAGACGCGCGTGGAACTCAGCCTCCACCCCGCCCACGGCCCCCGGGGCGCAGGACGGGAGGTGGACGATGCCGATCACCTGGGAGGGGCGAGGCGAGGGGTTGGGAAATGAGCACATGAGCGTGCAATGATGTAGAGTGGGAGGGAGGGGTGGCTACGAATGAATGAAATCCAAAGTGCATCCAGACCAACAGACAGGCATCTGATATCGAAACGCACTGCCTGCGGGACTCGAACACAGAGGGAGGGCCGCGCCAGAGGTCCGACCCGGACAATGGCTGGCTATGAACCTCGCGAAGTGATACGCATCGGAAGCAAGGGCCTGGATGAAAAGGTATTTGACGAGGAAGAGCCTTTGGGGACTTACCGCCCAAGTACGCCGGAACGCCTGGAAATCTTGCCATTCGGAGGATGCCGACGTGGAGGGCGGAGCCCGGTCCAGGTACTGTAGCAAAAGGTTCCCGTCGAACCATGAAAAATGCTTGAAGGGTGAACTTTCCTTCTTCCAGGAACCGGGCTTGCTTAAATTTGCCATAGGAAGCTCGTGGAAAGAGCGCCGAAGGAGGGAGAGGTAAACGCGGAATCGTGCACCCGGCACCCCGCCCAATGGAACAACCGCCACACGAAGCTGCCGATGGGCTGCGAAAGAGTTTGGCTCCTCTTCTGCATGGTGCAAAACGTTCATCTTCGTGGCTCGATTTGCGTGTGTGTATACGGGTGCATATGTGCTGCTGCAACTCTTCAAAATCAGCGAGTACCTGTGACTATTATGTATGCCTGTCGGTAAAGGTAGACACACGTTGGCGCCTGGCGCGATGGCAGGAGATACGACTACAACACGGGAAGGTGGCAAGCGCCGGAGGGGCGATCAGGTCACACAGCACGCGTTTCCTTCTGGCAACGCGAGATACCAGCCTCCCTGGGAGTCCGGTATCGCTCCTGTCGCTGGTTCCGAGCACCAAGGTGAGCAAGGAAGAAGCATGCCTGTCAAAAAAATCTCCGTCGTGACCCTCAATGCGTCCGAACTGTAATCTGCCGAGCAATGACTCGACCACCACGAACAGTTGTAGCTCACACGCATCAGAGTTCAGTCTTGCATAACGGTGTTGTTTCTCGTCTCCGCCGGGTATCGTTTTGATCGGCGAGGAGATACGGAGTCGGGGAAAAGGCTCGAGTAAGCGAGAACTTGCGCGCATGCCGTTTCCCCATCGTTTTTCACGTAACATAGGCATTTATTTACCTTATTTCCACTCTTGATTATCGACAGACGATGAGAACTCGAGGATGTGTAAGGCATCTGCATTTCCTGAGGCACTGGACAGACGCGTTGAAAATGTCTGCGGCGATAGGATTCACACCGAAAAAATGACGAGAACTATTCACCGCTACAATCGCCACTCATAGCGTATGCTTGGGTATTCATACATATTTTCAGCAGGAAGGCATAGAAGCAACGGAATGGCCAAGGGTCAAACTTTTAATAATACACAAAATCCTTATCGCCATGACTCCGGGAGAGACACCCGTTCACGAAAATTATTTGTACATGAAAAGATGGTCAGGTCTTCCTGTCATGACTCGAGCAGACAACAAAAGGCTCCATGTCCGTCGTTCTGACGGCCTAACCTTCACTTCTCACCTTCATCGCCCGTCAAAACACCATCACCTACTTTGTCATTCGTACACCCTGGCCTCCCTCCTCCCGCCTCCTTGATTTTCTAATACCTCGTCCTCTTCTGTCACATCCAAGAGAGGCAGCCCTCGGCTGTAGCTCCTCTTGCCCCCACTTCCACTCCAGCTACGGCCACGCCTTCCTGAGGCCAAGGGCTGCGCCTGCGTCCATCCGCCGTCGTGAATGAAAAAGCGTCCCAGCCTAATGACTCCACAGACGATGCCAATCGACAGCAAGGCCGCCGCAATTACGAAGCCCACCAATTCGCCCACGTCCACCTTCACCTGCCCCTGTCCGTCCGGACCACCCGTGGCCCCGCCTGCGGCGTCAATGCCACCGTCGCCGACTACATTAATATCATCGTCCCTATACACCCCCTCTGCATGGCCAATCTCTCTCAAAGGAGCGGCTACAGATCGGTTCGAGGGCAGGAGACAGATGCTGACCGGGGGAAGGGCAGGGTTCCAACAGGCACGACCCAGGTGCCGCCACATGCTCTCTTCGCTGGGAGCTGGACTTTGATTAGGCGGAGGGACCTGTGATGTCACTGAGCGCATTTGTCTCTCTAAACACTGAACGTAGGCCTCGTCCCAGCTATCAGGGGCATGCTTCCTGTGAGTGATGCAGGTCTCTTGGCAGCTCGTCGCGGACGCCAACAAGGCATGGAAGGCTCCAGGTATGCTTTCTTCGTCGTTCGGCCTCCCATCCTGCGGGCGTGTCCACACCGCACAGCCCGCTTCACACAGCACATCGTAGGAAGGCGAGAGGGAGAGGGTGAAAGCCAAGCACTCCTCAGGCCGGGCTCGGCAGTCCGCCCGGGGCCCCAGGCCCACATAGAAGAGGCCGCCCTCTAATTGACGCCGGTTGTCCACACCGATGAAGGAGAGGTCTTCTTTGGCACGCAGGGTGAATGTGAGGGGCAAAGAGGCGCCTGGGGTCAAAGGGGGGTACCTAGATGAGTGGAAGAAAGTGAAGATTGCGCGACTCGCAGTGTGGTCAAGACACATACTCACCGGCTTCCAACTCCACCTTCTCAAAGCGCTTCAAGAGTTTGTACTCAGGCGTGACGCGGCGCACCTTATCGGTGACAAAAAGCAAGACCGCCTCTTTCCCTGCGCGCTGGCCCGTGTTGACCACAGTGAGGGACACCTGCAGGGGGGTATCTTCGTCGATCTCTGTGGCGCTCAGACTCACGTTCACGTAGGCGAACGACGTGTATGAAAGGCCATGGCCGAAGTCCCACTGCCTCGGGCAATCAATGTACTTGAAGGGGAGGACGGCACGGCCCGTCGTGCACAAGGAGCTCGGCTTCCGGTAGTACTGCTGCGGCGCCACCCCTGTAAAGCTTGGGTAGGTGAAAGGAAGGCGCCCCGAGGGATTCACGTCCCCCGCCACGATTTCTGCCAGGGCTTGGCCCCCGCTGGGCCCGGCAAGCATCACGTCCAGCACGGCTGCGGCCTGGTCGAGGGCAGGACCCAAGACCCGAGCCCTGCCCTCGACCAGGACCGCGACGACGGGCGGCCCCGCCGACATGAGGGCTTCCACGTAGGCAAGCTGCCCCGCCGGTAGAGCCAGGTCGTTGATATCCCCGGGCTTCTCTGCATAGGTGCTCTCGCCAACGCAGACCACGACCAGGTCTGCCGCCTCCGCCTCGCGCAGGGCCTCCGCCTCGCCCAGGTCCCTCCCGGTCACCGACACCCCGGGGCGATATCTGATCTCCGCGAGCGGAAAGCGGGCCTTGAGTCCTTCCAAGTAGGTGCTTCCCTCCGTGAAGACCTCGTTGCGACGTGCCCCCTGCCAGTGCAGGGTCCAGCCCCCCGATTGCATTCCCAGCGAGTGGCAGCCCCGGCCCGTGACGAGGATGCGCTTACCGGCCATGCGGTCCGGGTCGAGGGGGAGGAGGCCGTCGGGGTTCTCCAACAAGACGATGGACTCGCGGGCAAGGGCCAGGGCAACCGCCTTGTCCTTCGGAGACCCGACGGAGGCCTCCAAGGCGGGAAAGGCATCGAGGAGGTGGAAGGGATCGTCGAGCAAGCCCAGCCATTCCTTCAAGGCCAAGACCCTAGCCACTGAGGTGTCCACCCGGGCCTCGGGGACCACGCCCGCTTTGACCAGGTCAAGCAGGGCGTCTGCGAAGCCGACGGCGAGAGGCGGGTTCATGCTCATGTCGATGGAGGTGTCGAGCATGGCCAGGCGCACCGATTCCCGCATGTTCTCGGCCACGAAGTGGAACTGGTGCAAGTTGGCGATCTCGTTGTAGTCCGTGACGAGCATGCCTTCGAAGCCCATCTCCTCCCGCAATAGATCCACCAGGTACTCCCTGGACGAGGCCATGGGCACGCCCGATACCTCTGTGTAAGCCTCCATCGCCGACTTTACCCCCGCCTCCCTCACGGCCGCCCAAAAAGGGGGCGCGTACAGGCTCTTGACAGTGCGCGCGTTGAGCTCGATGGGGGAGCGGTCGTGGCCCGTGACAGCAGCAGGATACGCGATGAAGTGTTTCATGCACGCAGCGGCTGGGGGCAGTCCGGGAAAGTCTGGATTTGAGTCGGTTTGGATACCGCGGATGATAGCTTTGCCCATCTCGGCTGCCAGGTAAGGACACTCCCCAAAGGTTTCAAAGCTTCGCGACCACAGAGGCTGTGTATTGATGCCCAGTATGGGTGCAAACAGCCAGGGTATTCCACCTGCTTTTGTGTCCTTCCCTTGAACCCGACCCATCGCCCACACTAGCTCCCGGTTGAACGAGGCCGCTGCATTGATCTGCTGGGGGAAAAGAGTTGCACCGTAGATGTAATTCGCCCCATGTACGCTGTCGATTCCATACAATGGCGGCAGTATTCCAACCTCCTGTGCGGTTGAATGTATACGACGCAGCAATTCTTTCCACTCTCCGGCGCTCCAGCCATTTTTCCCCCCGCAAGGCCCAAGGGTGAATGGAGAGTTGAGAATGCTGCCGATATGGTACTTACGGAAGACGGCCGCCAATCGAGTTGTGTTCAGGTCCAGCGAACCAGGGTCCAAGAAACCCACTAGATCGAGCTGCAGCATCTGGCCTACTTTCTGTTCCAGGGACATGGACGACAACAAGTCCTGGACTTTCAAAGAGCGCTCAGCAGCGGAGGGCGTCAATCCGGCCGTCGCATGTAAAAAGGTTAGGAGCATACACCATGCTTTCATCCACCTCTCTGAAAAGCATGCCATGTTTGAAGAGGGATGAAGTCCGTCACCTGTCGTTTTTCGAGGGACGGAGATGGTGAAGCAAAGTGACGGGAACGCATTCGAAAGTCCCGGGGCTTGAAGCGCCGTGGGCGAGGCCGGGGCCGATCCGAGCCGTCCAACCTCCTCCCCCCCTAACCAGTGTCCACGCTCAAAACGAGGGCTTGATAAGATTAATGGTATCTGATTTTCTAATGTTACATGTTCAAACTATTTACACTGAGTGATTCAAATATTTGTACTTGGAGCCAAAGCGTTCCTACTGCTACCTCCGCCCGTGTTTTGCTGCTGAAAATCGGGACCTCTATGTAACCCCCCTTGAGGCTCAGGATGCCCGCGTAAATGAATCACTTCACCATCTACTGGGCCAGCACCCTTCAGAATTTTATCTTTGACATCACCTTCACCTTCTGAGAACCCTTGCTTTTCTATGGGGGCGCTTGGCGGTATATATACAGCAGGGTCTAAGCCACGCATTCGAAGGACGTTCCTGATTAAGTGCAGTTTCTTTCTCGGCGTTTTGGCGTTGCGCCAGTCCCATACAGTAATCTGCGCGACCGCTTTAAATTTGTGTAGCCTATCTGCGTGATATTGCACAATGAACCGACGAAACTCCGCGTCGCCAGTGAAGCGGCCTAAATCGTTAGTGAAGAAATGCCCGCGCCCCTCAAAAAGTAAGACCACAGGAAGATCCTCGTCTGCCTCGTTATGTTGCCAGGGATACAGGAGCAGCTCCAAATTAAATAATTCGTTCAAAGTGCCGGAGGTAACACGGAGGCCAAGGACCTCTGCCACCTCCATCGCGGAGGCCTG